TCCTTCCTTCCTTCCTTCCTTCCTTCCTTCCTTCCTTCCTTCCTTCCTTCCTTCCTTCCTTCCTTCCTTCCTTCCTCTGAAGATTTTAAACTATTTTGAACAAAGTAAATAGCTTAGGAAAATGGAGGAATGGAGGAAAGTGTTTTTTTCTTTTTAGAAATGTGTTGCATTTTATAAAAGATATGACAAATACACAATGGATGATTGTTTTTCTGAAAGTGCTGAAATGTGTTGAACAATAAAAGGAACTAGGTCAAAAAATGAAGCTATCACTATTATTTTTTCCCAAAGAAAATGGTTTAGAAATATGTGGTATTATCAGTGTTTCTTTAGTATGTAGATCATCTTTGGTGTCACCGACTAAAGCAATATTGAAAATCATCCCATTTTCACTACAGCCAAGTTTCTCTGTATCTTAGTGCTTTTTCTGTAGCCTTGTGTCTCAAGAGTTCAGCCTGAATTAAAGCACGACAAATAGACCTCAGTGAATGCTCTGTCAGTGATCTGAATTTTAGGACTCAGTGGAATTTGTCCTGATCTTCAGTGCTGTAGACTGAAGTATCTCACGAAGTTTCTGTCAATAAGGATAGGGCTCAGTTCCAATTTTTGTGAACCTAGAATGAACCTATAAGCCTTTACATGTAGTCACACTGTAGTTTCATGAATGATAATGAAGGAAACATATAAAAGTCTTTATTTATTGTGACTACTACTACAAAGCAACTATAATATTATGTTTTTTTTTAATTTGCTTTAATTACTTATTTCAGAACTAGTTTGGAGTTTCCTAGAAACTATTTTGAAGTTTCCCCATGTCTTACTATCATATCTGTCAAAGGCCAAACAGTTTAAATAGTTCTTTCTTCTTGTCTTCATCCAACAGTGGAAAAGAAGAAGGGGGATATAGGAATGTAGCGTCGCTCTCCATTGTCATAATTTCTAACAGCATGATATGTGCCAGCATCTCAATATTCAGCAACTGATATATTTTTCCTGATTTCAGACCTGAAATTGACAGGAATATATCAGCAGAAGATTTATTATAATAGATGTCTCTTTAAAAGAATATCTAGCAGTACTATTTGAATAATAGTAACCTACAGATAGTTTTATGACTTTTTGTAGCATGTATACGTTCATTTGTATGTCATCTCACTAATGCTTGTTCCTAGTTGCACACGTTTAAGATTAATTATAATATTCATCACATGACCAGAGGCCACTACCTGAACAACCTTAATCAGAAAATCATATGCAGTAAAAACATGCCATAATATGGCTTCGTCAAAGGATTTAAACTGTTGAATTAGCACAAGATATGTCTAAGAAGATCAAAAATTATGAAATGGAGGGATTCTTATAGGGATACTTGATATCTAGTGCACAAAAATACTTGAGATTAAAATAAAATTTAGGAAATTCAAACTAAATCCATTGTCCAAAATGCTGAGTCAGTGCAGTGATGTATTTGGAAGACTCTCATGTATCTTTTTGTATAAAATGGTTCTTTTATCCATGACTTGAGAGTTCAAGTGGAAAAAAGGAGGCTGATCACTGATCCATTCAGAAAGGAAAATTAGCAGACCATACCCATTACTATAGGAGAAGCCTATATAAATAACTTCTTGCAACAAAAGACAAACAAAATACTTGCTATATATAAATACACTAACAAAATGGTGTATAATTTTGTAGAGAAAGTCAACCAAACTGTTGCAATCAAAAGAATTTGCCATACCTTCAGAGAGAACAGACCTGTGCTGTCTAGGATCTGAAGACTATTTTTTCATAAGTTCATTTTTTAAAGTGTTACGTGTCTTCAGTGAAATAGTATGTTGAAAGACAGACTGTAACCAAAACCAGGATTTTGTTCCCCAGTATACCGTTTCAGCTTGAACAAAACCTTTATTTATCTGTGTTATTGCACATCAAATACTGTGCTGCTCTCAGTTTGGGACAAATACTCTTAGAGAGAGACCTCTGCTCTAGACCACAGAATCTAAATAGAAAAGAGTTATTCTGAATGGAAAAGGTATGTGAAGAAATTAATGAATGGAAAAGGTATGTAAAGAAATTAAGTATTCAGACTGAGGTGAAAGAATACTTCAGGAGCAGAACTTGTGGATCTCTACTGTCAGTGGTTGCATGTTCACTGACTGATGTTGAGTCTGTGCCATCAAATATTTCAGACCAGCCATATTATACCAGCAATCCATGGTTCTCACATACTTTTATTACACTTCGTTTTAGTAGTCAGAGTATATAATATGCTTATTGGATTTTAGACCTTGTCCTCTGATTAAATAAATTATTTGCTAATAATTTTGGTTTTCATGAAAGTGT